ATTTGTTGTTTTGACGCTGTTACGATGGAGTCTTTCTGCATGTCAGTTTGAGTAAACCCGAAAGATGGAAAGATCAAGGTCAAGGCAACCAGTGCACCAGTTCTACCTATCCGTCACTGAATAAAGCAGCCGTCGGCATGACCAGACATTCCGCCCACAGTGCGTGGGTTCGTTCCCGGTTCATCTCATCGTCTGTAATGCGCAAGGGGCCCCAGTTTGGGAGAACGGGCTGTCAGGTACCATCATGATCCATCGTCTCTTTTTCGTCCGTGGTGATCGATGAAAGATCAGTTCGGTCACTTCATGATTCAGGATTCAAGCGGGACCCAAATATAGATGTCGAAAAAGGCAAGACTTATGTCACATATTCGTAGGGTTAGGTATTCTAGTTGCTTTTTTTAGAGATTAAGAGGGAGTATAACTGTTGGGCCTCATGGATAAAGTTTGTTTGAATCGAAAAAGAGTCGTCATCATTCGTTCTGTTCAACCTAGAAGACTATATGGTATATCAGTACAGGCGCAGCCGGTGCATCCTCACCTCTACTCTAGACAACCCCGCCCTAGGGCCATCGGGCTACCGCTAATTTCCAACATCCCTCCGCATATGTGTGGGCGCTTTAGAGCTTCGAGACGTATGTCTGGCCCTTCTGGATCCACTCGGATGCGTCGTTGACGAACTCGTCGACAATCTGCTTGGCCGACTTCTTTTCGTTGCAGACAGCGGCGCACTGGCCCATAAGGTAAGGGCGGAACTGATCGAGGATATCATCGTCATCGGCTTCCTCCTCAACATTGTTGGTTGCCTTAAGCGCGCTGGCAGCCTTGACAGCGGCAGCCTCCTCAGCATCGCCGTTCATGACCTTGTCGAGGTCGGCCTCGTAGGGAAGAGTGCCCTTGGAGGTGAGCTCGCGGATCTCCTGCTGGCGCTCGGTCTCCCAGTTCATGATGTAAGGGTTCTTGCGCACGCGCAGGGGGCGGCCGGTGAAGATAAGGGTGCGGATGGTGTCGTCGAAGCCGGCGGTGCGGACAGCCTCCTTATGGGATTCAGCGGCGCCCGCCTCCTCAGACAGCACGAAACGCGTGCCAACCCACACGCCGGTGGCACCCATCATCAGGGCAGCGGCAAGCAGTTGGCCGTTGTGAATACCTCCCGCGGCGACCACCTGAACGGGCTTTCCGGTAAGGGGCGACACGTGACCCTTGCACGCCTCGACGCATGCGGGGACCAGCACCGTCGTGGGGACGTCGCCTGTGTGTCCACCGCCCTCACCTCCCTGGGCGCAGATAAAATCAACGCCCAGCTCGAGGCACTTCTTGACGTGCTTGGGGTGCCCGACCATGTTCATGTACAGGATGCCCGCCTTGTGTAGCCGCTCGACAACCTGCTTGGGAGGAACACCGACAGCGGACACGAACAGCTTAGCGCCGGACTCGACGATGATCTCGATCAGCTCGGGGAGCTTGCCCTTGGTGTAGTCGTAGCTGCAGAGGGGGTGTTTGGTTAGCCTATGGCTTGTTGCGCCTGCGACCAAAAGACGGGACGTACTTTGTTTTCCGCGCATTGCCGCCAACCTGGGGCAACAGGAGATCGACGCCAAAGGCAGCCTTCTTGTCCGTCAAGTGCGACTTGAGCTCCTCGATCTGGTCCCGGAGCATGTCGGGTGTGTAGTTGATGCCGCCGAGCACGCCAATGCCACCAGCGTTTGTCACGGCAGCAGCCAGCTTGGGGCCAGCAGCCACGTTCATGCCGGCCAGCATGACGGGGTGGTTGATCCCGAACGCATCGGTAAGTGGTGTGCGGATTTTTTCTGTGAAACGGATCAATTGTCAGCGACTTCAGAAATGTGCCGCCGGAAGAGGGCGAACGTACGAGGAGAGGCCATCTTGACGGTTGGGAATACAAGCAACTAATTAATAGTATTAGATGCTAGAGATTATTGCAGTGAGAAATGGACAACTGCGAAATGTACACGTATATATAGAGAGGGAGGCGAGAACATGCGACAAAAGGAAAGCCGACCAAAAGATCCGGGGAAACCAGCATCTCCATCTTGGCATCCTGGGGTCAGCAGTCTAGAGACAGGAAGGATGTGCCGAGGTTGGGCGACGGGGGGGACACTATGCTTGTTTGGGGCAGTCAGCGCCGCCCGCGAGGCCGAGTCGTGGAGGGGCATGCATCATGCCGAGGTAGCGTGGACTGGCGATGGCCGTTCGTTTTGTCGACGGACGACGCGACTTATTACTCGGGAATTGGGACGTTTCTACTTGATGTGAAACTGTAAGTGGTGTTTTGTAAAACGCTCCAAAGAGGTGGTGGAACAAAGTTGTGGCTTGCCGCACGCCTCTCCGTGGAAATGTTTTGGTTGCACTGAATGCGCAACGCCTGAGCTCGTGGCTGACAGTTACAGAATCATCGGCCCCGGGCAGTGGGCTGGGTCATCACGGATAACATCAGGCAGAGGGGTCTCAGTACAGAACCCTAACCCTGTGTATGGTCGAGTTGGTCAGAACTGGTGGGGTTAATCCCCAATTCTACAATTCACCAGCAGCAGCAGTCCACTCTTAATTCTTATCAATCTTGGTGCAGTGGAGGCACTGTTCGGACAAGGCTGCGTGATCTCACTCAGTATGCGGCAGAAACATGAGACGCTTCTTGGCTGTCTCGACAGGGCCACTGCTGCACAAACACACGGTATCCTCGACTTTGCGACATGCCCGCGCCGTCCCATTCACTCAGACGCTGCTCACGGGCTGGATAGACCTACAAAACCCGTGTTTTTCGCGGTCGACGCGGCGGCTCGCTACGACTGACTCACTGCCCTTCACAAAATACTCCCTTCCGTCTAAAGAGTCCCGTAGCTCTAGGTTGTCTGCAAGCGCAGCCACTACTGCTATGTCCAACTCCCAAGAGCCCCCTGCTGTGCGGACGGCGTACATCGCCCTTGGCAGCAATCTCGGCGACCGCATTGGATGGATTGAGCAGGCCTGCAATGAAATGGACGCCCGCGGCATCAAGGTCAAGCGGACGAGCAGCCTGTGGGAGACCGAGCCCATGTATGTGCTAGACCAAGATAGATTTGTCAATGGTGCCTGCGAGGTTTGTTTCTTCTCCATTTCCCCCTCCTTCTTGTTCCTTGTGTGATTTATGAGGGAGGCAGAGTACTTATTTATGTATGAGAAACTAACGCAAGCCCCCAGGTCGAGACAACGCTGGACCCCCTTCCCTTGCTTGACGTCCTGCAAGACATTGAGAAGAATGCACTGGGTCGAGTGAAGGTTATCGACAAGGGGCCCCGTAATATTGATCTCGATATCCTCCTTTATGAGAACCTCAAGATTGACCATGAGCGCCTCAAGGTGCCTCACATTCTCATCCCAGAGCGCGAGTTCGTCTTGAGGCCCCTTGCCGAGTACGTGTTCGTCCTCTTTCACAAGTAGTACCCAACTAACTGGCTCCCGCTAGGCTCATCCCTGACAAGCCCATTGACCATGCTCGACCCTGGACACTAACCCGCGACTACCTCGACGCTCTCACCCCGGCCGATCCTCCGCTCACTACCATGACCCCGCTGTCGGCACACCACCCACCCATCCAGGCCCTCAAGTCTAGCCGCAAGACACACGTCATGGCAATTCTGAACATGACCCCTGACTCTTTCTCTGACGGCGGCCAGAACACCCAGCTCGACGAGTCCGCCTTGCTGTCCACCGTCCAGTCCTTCCTCGACAATGGCGCCACCATGATCGACGTTGGTGGCCAGTCCACCGCCCCCGATGCCCCGGAGGTGACCGTCGAGGAGGAGCTCGCCCGCGTTCTCCCCGCCGTCCGCCTGATCCGCAGCCGCTTCGCCTCGCAGCCCGTGTTAATCAGCGTGGACACGTACCGTGCATCCGTGGCCGAGGCTGCCGTGGCCGCCGGTGCCGATATCGTCAATGACGTCTCGGGCGGGTCCATGGACCCGGCCATGCTGCCCACCGTCGCCCGCCTTGGCACCACCATCTGCCTGATGCACATGCGCGGAACCCCTGCCACCATGAACTCGCTTGCCGACTACCCGGCCTCGGAAGGCGGGCTGATCGCCGGTATCGCGCGTGAGCTAGTTGCCCGCGTCGCCGCCGCCGAGGCCGCGGGAATTCGGCGCTGGCGCATCGTTCTCGACCCGGGTCTGGGCTTCGCCAAGATTGGGCCTCAGAATGTTGACGTCCTCCGCCATCTGGATGAGCTTCGTCACTGGCCTGGCCTTCAAGGCCTGCCGTGGCTTGTTGGGTCCAGTCGCAAGAGCTTTATTGGTCGGGTCACGGGTGTGCCGACGCCCAAGGAGCGCATCTGGGGCACTGCTGCGACGGTCGCGGCTGCCGTCCAGGGCGGTGCCGATGTTGTGCGAGTACACGACGTCCGCGAGATGGCACAAGTAGTCTCTATGGCCGATGCCATTTGGAGGTACTGAAAAGTGCTCCAACAGAGACAAGAATAAGTGGTCAAGGTAAGATTCAACATTGTAAGTGAAGGGGTTGACCATTCATCGTAAACTTTGGGTAAAAGGCGGGAAATGCATTCATCTGCCACCATTTCTGAATCAGTCATCATGTACAAATGGTGCTTTGTATATGCAAAGACAGCCATTCCATTGTATAAAAGTGATCTGTGTGTATTTATTTTGGAGGGGGTCGGAAAAAAGAAAAGGTCCAAGATTCAACATTGTACACAAACTCAGAATAGAGAAGTGACATCATCCCGCACAAGCTCTAGGAGCTTAGACGCAATATTACCCTCATGTTTAGGACGTAGGGCCATATGTCCCACTACAGAATAACAACCTCTTGCAGTTTGGCTCAGTCTGTCCATACGTAATGAGGTCTTATAACTGGAAGGCCGTTCTGTTTACTTGATGTACACAAGTTCAGGACAGACAAGAGCAGAGGGGGGGGGAATAGAAACATAAGACAAATGGCCGGTCGACCACATAAGTACCTCTTGTCTAAGAGATCGCAAAAAGCATTGCCCACACCAGGGCTTGAACCTGGGACCTGTCGCGGGAGAACATTTTATCCACCCTATTTTTTCAGATGGTAGAAATACAAATGTGAGGCGAACGTCATACCACTAGACCATACGGGCGGAAGAGATGAAAGAGATTTTCTAGCTCTCTTGCTGATGGTTTGGTTGTTCCATAATGGGCTCCATTGTGGCAGCCGCCTGCTTCCTGTGGAGAGAGGGTTTGTGGACGTGGGCTTCGGTTCCATCGAAGGGGGGAGAAACAGAGTTGACAGGATGGGGCTTAGAAAAAAAAGAGTGAAGTGGGGAGTTAGTTTTGACTGTAAAGTTTGCCTCTCGCAGCAGTGTCATAACAAAATCCAGGGCATCTCAATAATGAAAATGCAATGGTCATGGATAGAGCGGCAGGCAAATTTGGCGAAACCAAGCTCGAGAATCAATCTAGCCGACTTATAAATCAACGGCACGAACCCCGTATGCGAAACGGTGTTGAATGTTCACCGAATGAATGTAGGGAATGTGACGGAGATTGATCAAGTTGAAGTGTACGAGGCTTAAGCAAAGAAGACACCCTTCACATATCAGTGACATCTCAAAAAAAGAAGGAAAAAGGTCAGAAAAAGTATGGCTGTAATGCTCAAATATATAAGGTATATGCCATTTTGTTCTTCCTAGAGAATGAGCCCTTCCCTGGGCTACCCCCAATGCTGCCTGTAAATGCGTACCTGTCTGTTTTTGTTTACCGCCAACCATAAGGATCCCGCGGCTCGCTCATAAAAACAAGAGATCCTCATATGCCGAAAATTGCTATATACAAAGCAAGAAGAAGCGAAAAATAAACGCATGATGCTTGATGCCAATGCTAATAGTACAAACCCTCCAGGTTTTCTGGGTGTTGGAAGGTCTCAGCGACGGCGCCGACGCTGCGTAGCGGCTGACGACTGTGTCGCTTCTGGAGTAGCAGCCGGGCCGGCGGCGTCGGGCTTAGGATTTGGGTTTGTGGAAGGGGTAGCGGTGGGACTCGGCGTTGCAAAGGTGCGGATGACTTTGATGTCCTCACCCTTGAACGGCCGTGGGGCCTTGTCGACAAGAAGCCCATGGATAGTCTCAAGCGCGCACATCTCCTCGCCCAGACCCGTCTGCCCGTCGAAGCCGCCCACGTACCACTTGTGCCCGCACGATGTGCCGTTCTTACCACCAGTGCAGGACTTGGCGGCTGCGGCGGCCGAGGTGTGCAGGAGCTCAGTTACCGTCGGCAAGATGGATGGCACGTATAAAGCCGATGCGTATGTGAACCGCGAGAAGTAGCCCTTGAAGCTGCGCATGTCGACATTGCATTTATCGACTTGCTCGCATGCGTGCTCGTACATGATGTTGGTTGCGTTTTCGAAGGGGCTGAAGAAGGACCGAGCTGCCTCGAGGATGCGTGTGGTACGCTCTGTCCACTTGGGGTCTTTGGTGTGGTCGGCTAGCACGGCAGCGCCGTACATGTAGATACTGGCGCTGTACGAAAAGGAGACGGGGTTAACATCCTTGCAGTTCTTGCGTGCCGAGGCGCCGTCGAGGACGTTGTATTCTTCGTCGATCATCCCAACTTCCTTGGTCCAGTCCCAAACCTTGTTCGCCCAGTCTAGATACGTCTGGTTGCCTGTCGCCCGCGCCAAACGCGCCGACAGCTGAAAGAAACCGCCGTTGCTGACCGTGTTCTTGTAGTCGAGTCCGTTCGGGTTCGAGGCAAAAATCTGCCACAGTAAGCCGCCGCCACAGTGTGTTGTGTTCCACCGCGACGCCAGCGAGTTCCAGATGTTCTCGCCAAGGTTGAGCCATGGCGGGATGCTAGACTCTGGCTGCGGGAAGTTCCTCTCCGCCGCCGACATGACGGCAAACCCCCAGAAGGCCAGATCATCGTTTCCCTCGTCACCGAAATGCTCCGGCAGCATGTAGTTGAACTCGGGTCCGACCTGCGCCAGAAGGGCCGTGGCAATCGTCTTGTCGTAGGTAGTGTCATTTGTATAATGGGAGTAGTCCAGCATGGCACCCATGAGCGCACCGCACTCCCACCAGTAGTATGGCGCATCCAGGTCCACGAACTCTTTGGCATTGCCATGATAGTAGCGCATCGTGTCAGCAGCGATTGTCTTGGCGACGCTTTGGATAGAGGCTGGCGACATGTTAGTGACATGGCACAAAAACGGCAACTTTAACGTCACTTACATGGCTCGCTGATGTTCAGGCCCTTTGGCGGACCAGCGGTAATGATTGCCGCTCCAACCGCAGCAGCGACGGGCCGTGCCGACTTGAAGAACTTCATGGTGATCTTTTGTGTCCTTTAGTCTCAGTTTCCCTCTAGAGGTCAAAGATTAACACAAATGCCCCTTCGACGTCCTCTGTCGCTCCAAGTGTCGAAAGGCAAACGGGAGGGCTAGTCGCGCAGCGAACGATAGTGGGGGTGCATAGAAAAGCTCAAAGGCGAGACTTCTTCCGGAAGAAAACAGGAAGGAGATATATCAGAATGTATAATGAATGACTCGAGGCATCGGCCGAATCAGGAGAGATATGCGCGTGTATGTCTGTGTGCCAAGTGGCCAAACGAATGCGGCAAACACACGAAATCGCTGAAAAAGTGGAAGAGAATGGCCTGCCTGTGGCGAGGAATGGAAGTTAAGCAGCTCCCGAAACACACAATAAAATGTTCAACAATGGAATGGAACGACTGAAAAGGCTGGGTCATGCACTCAAACAAGCGCAACGAACAATAGGAAGGAACAAGGGAAGGGTGCCATCTCAACTTCAAGATGAGCAGGTGAATTGGTCTTATGGGGGATCAAGATGTGGAGGCCCACATGCAACCAGCCCCTGACCAGCCGCCAGCGTGCTGACCACCCTGCCATGAGATGGGAATACGAATAAACAGGCGCCCCCAATGGACTGTCGTCGCCGCTGGGGAATCGGGACAATGGAAGCAGAAACAATAAGCCAATGGTTGGATTCCGATGTCTTGAACTGTGGGTGCGAGAGTTCCAGCTCTCCGCCCTCCCTATCCTCCCTTTTTTTTTAGCTTGTTTCGTTTCTTTCCCAGGCGAGCTCTGCCGCGACTTGCAGCTGAAAAGATCCGAAGTGGAAGGCTAACCGTTGATCAGCGACAGGCGACAGCTTTCGCGAAAAGCCTAAAAAAGGGGCTACCAATCAAGCTTGCCTGCTGGTGAGACCAGAGGGAAGCTCGGTCCTTCGGTCCCACTACCTTTTGCGCCCCCTCCGCCTCAGCGCCCCAGGAGAACAGCGAGGGAGCCCCTCACCCAATGCAACTCCCAGGGAGGGCCATACAGGGGCTTTTGCGCAGCCAGCGGAAAGCGAGGCCAGGGGGCTTGGAGGTTCCTTGATTGGCTGCGAGCCCAAGCCACCCGCGTTGGCAAAACGTGAAACGAGACCTTAAATTTTGAGATGACAGGCCAGGGAATCTCGAAAACCTTTGAGGGCAGCCGCGCGACTGTTTCTGGGCTGCCGTTCAGTGATCGGTGACGATGATCTACTGTCTCGCTAGGTGTTGTTTCCGAGGATGTCAGCTGTTTACCATCGAGATGGAACGAACTGTTTTGGTTTCGCTGGAATGGAAACCGCCGTGAGAGTGACACAAAACCCGAGTTTGTACCCACCCAAAGTCCCTCCACAGAACCCGTCACAGCACAGGCACGCCGCCGGAATTCTACCAAACATGAGGAGGCCCAGCAACAGTTCGCATGTTTCTCTTACAGCGTTAGGTTGGATATGAACTAACTATCCGATGACTGACCCAAAACAGCGGCCCATGAAACCCAACGGGTATTTTGTTTCTATCCGAAGAAATGAAATGGAACATCACACATATTTCTGAGCGCCACTGCGACCTGAATTCTTGAACGCCGCACCCCTGAATCGTCTTGCAGTAGACACAAAACATCAAAACATGCCCATCTGCACAAGCTGCACGGCGATTGAAGCAGCAGCAACTGTAAGTGCTAAGCATCTCCTGTCGACTGGGCCGTTTGCGTTTGAAGTCGGTTGTGGCGGCACCGCCGTGCCATCAATGTTCGTCGTGCCGGCCGCCCCCGGCCCGGGGGTGGCAAGAGTCAGCACGCCCCAGGTTACTTCTGCCGAGCCAGAGAAGGTTTTTGTCCACACCGTCTGTGTCGGACCGGTGAGAGAGCCCTGCCGGTAATTTGGACCGAAAGATGAAGATCCCGTACAGGTTGCCGCAGTCGTTCCCGCAAGCTCACACCTAAGGTCGGCCGTTCTGTAAAAGGTGTTAAGGAGGCCAGATCTTCGAGAAGAATAAAGAAAACGGGGGGACTCTACATAATCCCCGCAGCTGAACCGCCATAGCTCAGCGTTCTCGGGCCCTCGGAAAAGATAAAGGGAATGTCGCCGGCGATCTGACACGTCGGCGCTTGCTCTGCACAAAAAATAGTGTATATGGTCTCGGACTTGTCCTGTTGCCAACCAATTACTGTCAGCTTTCTGGTCCGATCAATCAAAATCAAAGAAAAAAAGCCTACTTTCCAACTAGAAATAGCACTTCCTCGAAGCGCTGCCCAGTCTGAGTCCCGATACTCGGGCAGGAATACCGAGATGGTTGTGGCGGCAGTCTCACTGGGACTGACAACGCAGAGCAGGGCCAGCAGCAGCCAAGCGATCAGCGAGAAAGCTTGGCTGCCCCGCGCCGTCCGCCCCATTGTCGTCGCGTGGTTGTGTGCTGCCCCTTCGCACTTTACTCAGCTGTGTACCTGGTCATCGCCCTGGTAATGATCCGAAATATCAGAATACTTGAAAGAAAATTGATGATGAAGTTGGAACTGTTTGCCGCCCCCAAGATTGGGGTCAGATCAATTCTCTCTGCGATTCCTCCCTCTTTGCTTCGTCTTGTCTTGGCATGGCGGGCTTTTTGGCCTTGGCACCACCGGGGCGCTTCATTCCCCTCCATGCCAAGCTTTCTCTCTCCATCACTAGGTATGATGCAACTTTGTGTCCCTCTGCCCAAGAACAGACGCTGATCCCATCTCGTAAGTGCGACACTCCGTGACGGACACACTACGGACCCAGGAGTAGGTATGTGAGACAAGCGGTTACAGGATACTTTCGGGCGCATG